TGTGCTGCTGTTCATGGGTTCGCAAAGAGTCAGACAACTTGGAGACTGAACAACAACAAAAACAATTCTTTCCATTTTATTCTTTTGTTTTCAAACTTAATTTTTTTGTTGTTCCATTACCTTTCAATATAAATATTAGAACCAATTTATCTATATCTGCAAAAGTCATGCTAGGATTTTGTTTGGAACTGCATTAAATCATAGATCAATTTGGAAGAATTGACATATCCACTATGTGGACTTCCAATTCTTGAGCATGTCATTTCTATTTATTTCAATTTTTAATAATTTCTTTCATCCCCATTTCACAGCCTTCAGCATATAGATGCAGTATATTTTGTTAGGTTTAAACCCAATTATCTCTTTAGAGGGATTCCTAAGTGGCTCAGTGGTTAAAAAAAAAAAAAAATCCGACTGCTAACGGCCAAAGATGCAGAAGACGTGGGTTCAATCCTTGGATCAGGAAGATTCCCCTGGAGGAGGAAATGGCAACCCATTCCCAGTATTTTTGCTCTGGAAATCCCATGGACAGAGGAACCTGGTGGTCCCACAGAGTCGAACACAACTAAGCATGCATGCATGCACAACTTTTTAGGAGTTATTGCAAGTCATATAGCTTAAGCATTTTTAGTTTTCATTTATGCACTGATACTATATAGAAATATGATTGATTTTTGTGGAGTGGCCTTGTATCTTACGACCTTGCTGAACACATTTAATAGTCTCTGGAATTTGTTATTGATGATTTTATAGATTTCTTGGGATTTTCCATGTAGATAGTCATGTTGTCTGAGAATGGGGACAGTTTTAATTTTTTCCTTTTCAGTCTGTATGCCTCATTTCTTTTTCTTGCCTATTGTATTGGCTAAGATTTTTCCTGTGATGTTGAATAGAAATAGTGAGAATACACGTCTTTGCCTTGTTCACACCTTTGGGGGAGAATTTGGTTTGTTTCTCTCAATTGCATAGACTTCGATTTCCCCACAGTCCTTTCTCAGGGTGGCTTGCTTTCAATCTGGGCTGATGAGAATGACCCCGGGTACTGGAGCCTGGGCAGACCCACTACAAAGCTGGTACAATGTTTGGAGAGAAGAATGTGAGGATAAGGGAAGTAATCATCCAACAGGAAGTTTTCTCATGTGCCTTTTCAGACTCTCTCCATCACTTCCCCTCATCCTCCCTGGTGATACTCAAACTCTAGGTATTAATCTGCTGGATTTAGCAGTCTTGATAGCTCCCCAGTGGTACCCAAAATCCATGCCACAGTTTGTAGGATTTGGGGAAAACCCTGATGATGGGGGAAATTTTTATTTTCTTTTAATTAAAAATATTTCTTATTATTTTTGGCTCTGCTGCATCTTCGTGGCTGCGAGGGGTCTTCTCTAGTTGCGGTGACTGGGGGCCCCCCTCTGGCTGTGGTGACTTCTCACTGTGGTGCCTTCTCTCGTTGCAGAGCACGGGCTCTAGGCTCACGGGCTTCAGTCGCGGCAGCACGTGGGCTCAGGAGTTGCAGCTCCCGGGCTCTAGAGCGCAGGCTCCGTAGTTGCGGCACACGGGCTTCGTGGCTCCACGGCACGTGGGATCTTCCCAGACCAGGGATCGAACCCACGTCTTCTGCGTTGGCAGGCAGATTCTTTACCACTGAGTCACCTGGGGACACTGGGGGAGAGTTTAAATTTGGGAGACAATCAGGTGATAAGAAATCAGCCATTTTAAAGCGAACAATTCAGCAACCCTCGACACCCGCAATGCTGGGTGGCCTCCGCTGTCTTCATCAGCCTCGCAGGAAGCCAGCACCCTCTGAGCAGCTGCTCTTGAAGCTCTCCTGCCCCCACCACGGGGCGGACTTTAAAGAGTGGGAGATAAGAGATGGGGAGTCGCTTCTAACTGTGTGTCCTGCCCAGACACCTGGTATGTTTCTGCACCAGGCCACCCTTCCCCGGGCGTCTCATCTGCCTTCACTCCCTTTCCCCCTCACTCCCACCATCTTCACTTGTACCTCTTTCATCAAGGGTCAGGAGCAGAGTCCTCCCTCCAGCTCTGCTTTCTAGAGTAGGGCTTCTCAGACTTTACCAGGCAGAGGAGCTTCGCGGGGATCTTATCTTAGAGATTCTGGTTCGGTGGGTCCAGCTCTCTTAACAAGGCTCCAGGTGATGCTGACGCAGGACCTGGTCCACGATGACTATGGTAGGTGGATCCAGGATGCGGTCCCCAGGGGATGGTGCTTGAGGCCGTCTCAGCGATGCTGAGCAGTGGAGAGGATGCTACTGCATAGAGGACAATATTGGGGTCTGCACTGGTTTCCTGGGGCTGCTTAATAAAGCTCCATGAAGCTGGATGTTTTGCACAAGAGAAATGTGTTCTCTCGCAGGTCTGGAGACCAGAAGTCCAAAATTAAGATGTCAGAGAGAATACTTCCTGCTGGAAGCTCTCGCCCCTCTCCTGGGTTCTGCCCCCGATCCTTGATGTTCCCTGGTTTGTAGCTGCATGCCTCCGATCTCTGCCTCTGTCTTCATGTGGCTTTCCTTTCATGTGTCTCCAAATTTCCTTCTCCTTATAAGAACACCAGACATTGCACTGCGGACCCCTGCTAATTCAGTAAGACTGCATCTTAACTTGAAGTCCTTGGTGAAGACCCTATTTCCAGATGAGGTCCCATTCATAGGTCCTGGGGGTGAGGGCTTCAAAGTCAGTTTTTCAAGTAATGTAATTCAATCCCCTCCTTGGACCCAAGGTTATGCTGCCATTCCAGAGTGGAGCCAGGATGCAAACACATGGCTGTTGTCTCTTCCATCCCGCTGCTGCTGCTGCTGCTCTGGGGGGAAGCAGGAACCTCAGGAGATGAGATGGAGACCCCCCTCAAACTGAACGTGTGGAGGCAGAGACTGGGCACCCCGAGAAAATCAGTTGATCCTACAACCCCAGTTGCAGCAGAACATTTTATATTGTGGAAGCTGTCATTCCCAGGGACACCCCATGGAACTAGTTGTGTATCTTATTCCCAGTCTCTGGAGGTAGATGCAGATAGAGAGAAAGCGTTGTATCAGAACTAACTTAAAAATGCAAACCTCGGGACCTCCCTAGTGATTAGTGGTTAAGAATCCACCTCCCAATGCAGGCGACATGGGTTCAATCCCTGGTCTGGGAGGGCCCCACAAGCCACGGAGCAACTAAGCACCACAGTACTAAACCCACACACCCAGAGCCCGTGCTCTGCAACAAGAGAAGCCCCCGCAGCAAGAAGCCTGCTCACCCCAGTGAAGAGGAACCCTTGCTGGCTGCAACTAGGGAAAGTCCACGTGAGGCAGTGAAAACCCAGTGCAGTCAAAAATAAGTAAATTTTAAAAAATGCAAACCTCTATCAACTAGCTGACATCTCTCCATACAAACACTGATACTCAGGTGAGAATATTTTCAACATGCTTAACAGAAAATCTGGTTTATAGCAGCTTGACAAAATAGGAAATCAATTTTTTCTCACATAACAACGAGAATCCTAGCAACTACCATTTACCCAGCAATTGCTCTACCCCGAGTACGCCAAGTGCTCTGTGTAGATTACTCAATTTAATTCTCACAACAGCCTACGCATACATATTGCTATTGTTGTTACTACTTCTCCATGTCTAGACTAGGATATTGGGAGTAAGTTTTGGGGCCAAGTTCACGGAGCTGGTAGGTGGTAGCGGTCAGCTCTGGAGGAGACAGTCTGGCTGCGGTGAGTGCCCTAGCGCCACGAGGAAGGTCAGGGGCAAGGCCTCCCGGAGCCAAGGCTGCAGGCGTCCTCCCCGAGGCCATCGGGGCTCCTCTGCCTTCTTCCTCAGCGTTCCTGTGAATAACTCCCCAACTCCAGCATCCCGCGTGCTTCTTGGGCTGAGGAATGGGATGTGTGCTTGAAAGCCCTTCCTCGAAATCTCCACACGGTGCAGATTCTCCTTGTTGAGAACTGCATCACTGCCCACCCTCACTCCCACCCCCAGGTACAAGGAGAAGGAAGGTCCCTCTGCCCCTAGTGGTCCAGGGGTCCTCGTGAGAGGAGGAGAGAAAAGGGGGATCATGGGCAGGACACTAGTAGTGTCTTTCTCTCTCCATCAGGACACAGTGGGTGATGCTGTAGTAATAAACAAGCCCAAGATGCCAGTGGTTCCTGGCTGTGCCCGTAACCACCCTGGAACGCAGGGCCCTCTGCTCCTCAGCTCTGCTGTGTCTGCTCCTGAAAGCAGCTACCGGACCAGTCCCTGTGATGAAGCACACACTGGCTCCTAAAGCCATCTCCTGGGATGGCCATGTGCCACTTCTCTCTGGCTCCTTTGGCGGGAGCAGGTCATGTGGCCACGCCTTACTTCAAGTGGTGGGGAAGGACAGCGCCACCACGTGCTGGCAGCAAAGACAGCCGGAAGTCACGGGGTTGCATTCGTGGCCGGGGCCCCACCAGAGGGCTGAACTGGAGCTCACCTCCAAGGCACTGATATGGTGCCTGCATTTCCAGGCTGGATTATCATGAGAATGAAACAAGATAAGACTTCCCACATGGCTCAGCGGTAAAAGAACCCACCTGCCAAGCAGGAGATGCAAATTTGATCCCTGGGTTGGGAAGATCCTCTCGAGAAGGAAATGGCAACCCACTTCACTTCTCTTGCCTAAAACAATCACATGGACAGAGGAGCCTGGCGGGCCGCAGTCCATGGGGTCGTGAAGAGTTGGACACGACTTAGTAACAACTCCAACAATGGAGAGGAAATTCCCTGAAACCCACACTGGAACTCCTGGTCCCTGGCTTGTCTAGGAAGGTGCAGGTGCTCTGAGCCTTGGCAGGGCCAGGCTGCCACCTGCCCTTCGTCCTCCTTCAGCCCCTGCCGTGTCCCTCACGTGGCCCCCTTGCAAGTCCCTGAGGAATCCAGGCATGTTTCTGATTCAAGCTGTTGGTACTGGGGATCCCAGAGCAGCCCTCTGTCTGGAGCAGTCTTCCACCTGATGGTCTCACGGCTTCCCCTATGCAGTCGTCAACTCCTGAGAGAGGCCTTTCTGAGCTGTCGTGTGGACCACGGCGACCCCGTCATGCTGGAGCCCTCCCCCGCTTCATCATAACCCTCATCTCATCTGGACTTTCTACTAGATGTTTGTTTATTTTTAAACCCATCTCCCTCGAAATCAGAGACCTGAACATTGGTGGCTCCTAGAACATTCTTGTACTGGTTTAAATGGCTCTTGTCCCTGGATGCATGTCCCTCCCAGAGCCTCAGAATTTGGCCCATTTGGAAATAGGGTGGTTGCAGATGTAATGAGTGAAGAAGAGGTGAAAGTGGAGGAGGGTGGGTCCTGAATTTAAACATGACTTATGTCCCTATAAGGAAAGGAACATTTGGCCTCAGAAACACAGGGAAGAAGCAGCGTGACTGTGGAGCCACAGAGTTGGGGAGATGCGGCCACGGGTCAGTTAACACTGAAGATCACTAGCAATGCTAGAAGCTAAGAGGCAAAGAAGGATCTTCTATGGCCTTCAGACAGAGAGAGTGGCCCTGACAATGCCTTGATTTTGATTCTTCTGGCTTCCAGAACTGTGAGAGAATACATCTGTTGCTTTAAGTCATCCAGTTACGGAAACTATACATTTCTCAGTAAATACTGTTGGATAGATGGATGAGTGCCTGGATGGATGGATGGGTGGGTGGGTGAATGGATGAATAGATGGATGGATGGATGGATGGATGGGTGGATTGGTGGGTGGATGGGTGGATGGGTAGATGGGTGGGTGGATGGATTGGTGGGTGGATGGCAAATGAACACATACCACATCATACAGTGGTTTGCAAAGACCCGTTGACTTGGAGCCCCCTGCTGTGTGCTGCTTAGGGACACAGGGCATGTCCTTCCATCCAGGTGTCTCTGGCACACGATCAGCCATGACACATCTGCTGAGCCAATGCCTGTGGGGATCTGAGCAAGCAGTCCTGGTGACCAGGAAGCTCAAATAAAAGATCTGCCTTATAAAACATGGCAGAAATCGCACCCTGAGCCTAGAGGCGTAGTGGGAAGGGAGCGTGGGAACCCGTTCTGTCCTGTTTTGACCATCCCTGGCTGCCTGCAGGCAGCAGGAAGAGAGGAGGCCCCAGGGAGGGAGACTGTGAGCAAAGGCGTAGGCACAGCGGCCGCAGGCCAATTTGCCAAGGCCATGTGAGGGCGGCCTCTGCCCCAGAAATGGGACCAGGGCAGCACTTTCTCTCCGGGCTGCAGGTACTGGCAAGGAGTTTCCTGGAAACCATTGTGATATTTCAGACTGGGCCCTCGAGGCCTTCTTGGAACCCTTCTGACAGTCAGCGGCAGCCTCATCCACACAATGAGAGCACTGTTAGTCCTGATGGTTTTGCTTTTTGGTTTGGGGGTCTTTTTTTTTGTCATTAATCTAAAGTCTCTTGCCTTGGAATTTAATCATCCAAAATCGTTTTTTCAAAGTCCCTTAGAAATTAGCACCCCGGTAGATACAGCTGAAGTTTTTGAACAGGAAATCAAGAAATCTATCCCGGAGGAGGCAGTGAGCTGGGATGCTTGGGAAGAAAAAAAGTTTCCTTCACTCCCCAGGTGAACTTGATACCTAGATGTTCAAGGGGAGGGCACCGCAGAGGGCAGCGGGCCTGTGGGTTTGCAGTTCATGGCCTGCAGTCGCTCACCCTGAGCCCTGCCCTTTCAGAAAGGACGGGCCACACCCAGGGTTGGGATTAGTCAAACATCTTTTCAAATGTTTTGGGTTCAGCAAAACCCCACATCTATTTGCCAAGTTATTTTTCATTTAATTATGAAACCTGGGTGTCCTCCAAGGGAAATTTAATCCTCATGTTTCTGATTCATCTCTACTTAATTCATCCACAGGCTTTATGAGCACTGGCTGGTGTCAGAGCCGCCTTCGGAATCTCCTGAAAGGCTTTCCTCGCACTACCACCCCCCACCCCCGCCCCGCCCCCTTGTAAACAGGAAGTTGAAATTTGCCAACACTGAATGAACCTGAACACCACAAGGACCGAGCTTGGCTTGAAATCCAGGACCCTGGAATTTCAAGAGGGTTCTCAGAGGTCCAAACATCCCCTCCCCTGCTCTTGTGAGCAGTTTGAGCAGCAGAGTGACCACAGGAAGGAAAACAATGCAGGATGTTAGGAGACACACGTCTGTGCTCTGGAGGGAGCGCTCACGGGCCAGGAGGCGCTGGGTCCTGGGGTCTCAGTGGCCGGCAGGGCCAGTTTTAGGCCAGAGGCCGGGGTGATGGGTCTGGCAGTCTTGCCTCATTTCGGGCCTTGCTCCTGGGGCTTGGATCAGAGCCGAGATACATGGGAAAAGGCGTTGCCCAGGCCCACTTGGTCTGCCCTGCACTCAGTCCTCACCCAGGATCCAGAGTCCCTGCCTCCCTTCCCACCTCTAGACCTCCTTCTTTCTCCTTCCAGGCTGATGGTTGACTATGGGTCCACTCACCTATCAGCCCCCTGGGTAGGTCCCACCTCCTCCAGGAAGCCTTTCCAGCCTCTGGAGCCCCTGTGACCTTCTCCTCGCCTGGCTGCTCCTATTTGGTCACCAAATGATGCGCTCAGTGTACTGCCAGCGTGGAACAGTGGCCAGTGGACCAGGTACCCAGAGATTAAGATCCCCCACGCTGGGTCCCCGCTCCCCGGAGGACTTGTCTCTCTGGGCCTGGTTTCCTAACCTGTAAGGCTGAGGTGGGGGACTTCCCTGGCGGTCCAGTGGCTGAGACTGTGTTCCCAGTGCAGGGGGCCCAGGCTCCATCCCTGGTCGGGGAACCAGATCCCACATGCAACAACTAGAGATCACCTATGTGACAACTGGGACCCGTTCAACCAAATACATAAAGACAGACAGCTGCTCAGTCGTGTCTGACTCTTTGCCGCCCCATGAACTATAATCCACCAGCCTCCTCTGTCCGTAGGATTTCCCAGGCAAGAATACTGGAGTGGGCTGCCACTTCCTTCTCCAGGGGATCTTCCTGGACCAGTGATTGAACCTGCACCTCCTGCATTGGCAGTCAGATTCTTTACCATGCACCAACTAGGAAGCCCACATACAGACATACATAAATATTAAAAAAAAAAAAAAAAACCCAAACAAGGTGGGAGGCCTTAGAGGACGTGATCATTCCATGAATCTGAAAGTGAGATGCTCTGGTCCAAGTTGAGGGCCTTGACAACACTGCCTTTCCTGTCCAAGATGACAGGGTTCTATGGCTCACATGTCAGCAAACCAAGGCCGCTAAATGGACCCTCAGCCCATTGGTTGCCGTGCTGGAACAAGGCGCTGGTGGAGGGCGTGTGACGTTACCACAAGACGTGGCTCACCCCCGAGATTTCAGCTGGGGCTGGGGTGTGACCAGGGGCCAGGGTTCAGTGGGGAGATGCCTCTCTGGTCTGGCTGGTTCCATCTGGCGCGAAAGACGGTGGTGGCAGAGGACAGGTTTCGAAGGTTCTGCTGTCTCAAAGGTGAACAGTGCCAGCAATATTGTCAGTGCAGAGAAAAGAGCCCAGGCGGTGCATGTGTGTGTGTGTGTGTGTGCACGTGTGTGTGCACACATGTGGTTTGGGAGAAAGGGAGGGGAGAAGGGTAGGTGGGGGGAGCCCCCCAAGGCGTTCCCCAATATCTGCAGTGCATGGCTTCATAGAAGTGGTAGTTTTCCTACACAGACAGGTTTGCCTGAAGAGCTGGAGCTGGGTCCTCCTGAGCAGAGTCTACAGGAACCGAGAAAGCCTGCCCTGCACCCAGCAGCCACTTGGGCCGGCGCTCTCTGCCCCCAGGGGATTCCCACGGAGCTGCTGAAGCCCAGGTTTGGGAGGTGAGGCCACCGGGCCTCCCTGCCAGCCCTTGCCTGGGCTCTGGCTCAAGGCCAGGGCGGCCGCCTGGAGTTTTCCTTTCAGGGCAAGCTGCTGTATTCGCAGAGGGGGAGCTGAGTCCTTGGAGGGAGGGAGGGAGCTGGCCGCCAGCACTCAGAAAGAGGCACCTCTTTCCTATCTGTTCCATGTATTTGTTGGTGGAGGCTGGGCTGGGTGTGTGTGTGGGGAGGGGCAGGTGGAGTACGCTGGTTTTCTGTCCCTTCTCTGAGATTCTGGTCAGGCGATGCTCCAGAGAGGGGTCTTCAGGCTTGGAGGGGGGCTGTCTAGAGCTCTGAGAGTGTAGGATGGCCCCCTGAAGACACACAGGGTCCCTAGGGGGGCACAGAACTTTGCTGCCCAGCTTCAGCATCCTGCCCAGGGTGGCTCCAGGCCTTGGGGGCCCCTCACATGTCAGCCCCCCGCTTTCTCCCAGGCAGGGCCCTGCGGTCTGAGGATCCTGTCCACTGGCTGATAGCTCTTACGTGGAACTCAGCAGCACTCTGGCCTTGCAGAAACTTCAGTAGGGTCTTCCATTTATCCATTCAATCTTACTTCTCTACTGAATTTTGGGGGTGCTTTCCCAGGTGGTGCAGTGGTAAGGAATCCACCTGCCAATGCAGGAGACCTGGATTCCATCCCTGGGTTGGGAAGATCCCCTGGAGGAGGAAATGGCAACCCACTCCAGTATTCTTGCCTGGAGAATCCCATGGACAGAGGAGTCCACGGGGTCGCAGAGTCAGGCATGACTGAATGACTCAGCGCACACGCACGCAAGTTTAAGTTTTTGAATGGCTGATGTGTTTTCATGGTTATGAAATCTGAAAGTAAGCCCCGCAGTGAAGCCCCCGCCCCCACCTGCCCCCCCCCCCAGGGCCGTGTGCACTTCCCAGCAGACGCCCCTCTGCCCCCCGTCCTTCCCAGCAGGTGCAGATCGGTCACCGCGGGCACCTTGCACTGTCCACGCCGCACCCAGCTTGCTGGGGGCCCTTAGTGTCTTTGACGTGGATGTGGCCTGCAGGCGGGTTCTGATGGCGGCTCAGGGCTGGGGAGAGGTGTGGACTCACGGCAGCAGGTATCCAGGTCGGGTAAAGTCAGGCCCCGCCTCTACCTCTGAGGCGGGTCCAGGGCCTCCCTCCCTGGATATGTCCCATCTGGGGCTTCAGTCCGCTGGCCTTGGGTTGCCTGTGAGTCAGGAATTTTGATGCCTGGGAACTTCCTGCTTGA